GAGACATTCTACTCTAGTGGTATAGTATAATTAGTTAAGTGATAGTTTTGATAAATTCTACTCTAGTGGTATAGTTTAATTAGTTAAGTGATAGTAGTTTTGAGACATTCTACTCTAGAGGTATAGTTTAATTAGTTAAGTGATTAGTAGTTTTGAGACATTCTACTCTAGCGGTATAGTATAATTAGTTAAGTGATAGTTTTGATAAATTCTACTCTAGCTGTATAGTTTAATTAGTTAAGTGATAGTAGTTTTGAGACATTCTACTCTGGCGGTATAATATAATTAGTTAAGTGATAGTTTTGATAAATTCTACTCTAGCTGTATAGTTTAATTAGTTAAGTGATTAGTAGTTTTGATAAATTCTACTCTAGCTGTATAGTTTAATTAGTTAAGTGATAGTAGTTTTGATACATTCTACTCTAGTGGTATAGTTTAATTAGTTAAGTGATAGTAGTGTTAAGACATTCTACTCTAGAGGTATAGTTTAATTAGTTAAATGATAGGAGTTTTGAGACATTCTACTCTAGTGTTATAGTTTAATTAGTTAAGTGATTAGTAGTTTTGAGACATTCTACTCTAGCAGTTGCTATATACACATTTTTGTTCTAAAATGTATTTTTGAAATGTAAATGAAACTTTTGTTTAGACAATAAATTAGAGAAAAAAGTTAGACCTATTTAGTTACACTTTCATACTTTGCAATATCAGTACACAAGAATCTGTTAATGTGTTCCTGCTGCAATATACTGCTTTTCACAGAAGAATAAACTGCTTACATGGTCCAAAACATGTAATAAACGCATGAAAATAAAAGTAAACATATGTGAAAAGCTTAAAAGTTAAAATTGTGACAATCATTAACCAACGATGTGGTGACAAATGACACATCCAAAGAAGAAAAAAGTATTATTCATTATATTTCATAATTTTCAACTTTTCATTTCAGTTATTTTCACTTTACATTGATGATTTAGCTACTGTTAGAGTTAGAATATAAAAAACAATCAAAATATAAAGTTTCAATTAAATACAATTTGAAAATTACCTAAGAGGTTCTAGAGGTTATGCAAATGAAATATGAAAATTGTACAGTATTTTTAATCTTAGCTTGAAAATCACATTTCACTTAGGCTGACTCATTAAAGGCTTCTGATATTTACAGACATATTTTTGTAGAAATACTTGACTGAAAAATCATTTTTTAATGCTCAAACTTATAACATTTATTAAAAAACTTGCCAAATTTTGTGAAGATACAGCTAGTAGAGATGATTATATGGTGGTTATTATGTTTGTCAAACTGACCAAGTTTTAATAGGATTGTATATAAAGGGTGAGTAAAGATATTCACCAACATTTACCCAAAATATTATTTGACAATGTTTTAAATAAATAAAAGCTGAAATTTCTAAGTTTCATGATTGTTCATGTGTGCTATAGATGATTCATTACATGTTGTAAATTTTAAAAAAAAGGAAGAAGATGATGAGAGAGATATCTCTTCTTGAGGAGAAATGTAATATTCATAGCAGTTACAAACAATAAAAAAAAAACAAAATGAAGTATTGATATTTTGTTTTATAACAAAGCCACATTGGGCTATCTGGATTTTAGTGCTCTAAGTCCAGAAACTTACCACTGTCCCAACAGGGGGACACCAAAATGAAGTATTGATTGTTCGTTTTACAACAAAGCTACATTGGGCTATCTGGATTTTAGTGTTGTAAGTCCAGAAACATACCACTGTCCCAACAGGGGGGACACCAAAATGAAGTATTGTTTGTTTGTTTTAGAACAAAGCCACACTGGGCTATCTGGATTTTAGTACTGGAAGTCCAGAAACTTACCACTGTCCTAACATGGGGACACCAAAATGAAATGAGGTTTTTCAACAAATTAAATGCACAGGAACAAACCTTGTTTATGGATTCTGGGAAATTGGTAGAATAAGAACCTATTAAACACTGTGTTTTTAATGAACAGTAAAAAAATTAAATTTTGTAGTAAGCCTTTAATAACAATTTAATGCATGTGAGTGTAATTAAACAGGCTTATTTCACTGCTTCCTACCACACAAAATATAAAACAACAGGAAAACAAAATTTAAACATGTTAATACCTTGCTGTGGATCTTCAGCTACCCAGGCTATAGTTACACCACCAAGCTCAGAATCACTGAATCGAAGAAGGAATGTTCCACTAGGTCTCTTCAACAGCATTTCTTCAGCATTTCGTCTCCCAATGAATCCAATGACAACTCTAAATGAAGAAAATACAGGTGATTTTTGTTTAGGTGGCTGAAAAATAATTCAATTCAATGGTGATATCTAATATGTTGTAAGGAAAGAAACTGCTCCTTATAATTTACATTTCAAAATCACAAGTCATAATTTATCAAAAAACGTACAACTTTTAATATGGAAAAAGAGGAACTACTCGTAATGTAAATCTTTGTTTTCATTTGTTTACAATAAGTACACTTTGATGAATTCTGTTTTTACTGATGTATTTTATTGTACACTGAAGAAAAATTATAAGAAAGGATAAATTTATATTATTTAGCATTTGATAAATAAAGTGAGTTAAGTGGAAAGAGTATAATAACGAAATATTTATATTTGTGGTCTTTTATAAGTAAGCATAACCTATGATTTCCTAAAATTCTGTTCAACTATATTACTTCTAGTAGACTGACTAAAATTCATACTTAAGAGTAAACCTGTATTTCAGTATGATTATTAACTTGTTTCTAAACTTGTTTTAGTGAACTAGCTACCGTATTTTGAAGACAAAGTTTTGGGGGAAAAAAAACTACAGTTGCATTTGAAAGATTTTTATTGAACAAAAATTCAATTTGATACTTGAAAAATTAATATATATTGTTCTAAACACAAAAGAGCTCAAAAAATCAAAATAAGAAAATACCGTAAATCAAAAAAGGTTTACTGTTGTTTAGTTTGGTTCAATACCTGCAAAATCTTCATTGCTTTCACTGTAATTTATTTCTTTATTATTTAGGGAGCATTATAAATAGTTATGTTTTTAAGAGAAAAAAAAACTACTATTGTTATAAATAACACAGTCAATTGAACTAAACTATGCATGCCTATTTAAATATATTTACACATGGCTTGTGTATATCGTATATATACATATATATTATTCATACCTTCCGTGTGTATGAAGCAATCAGATTTTGACATCAAATTTTGGGGTAAAAAAAGTGTGTCTTATACACCGAAAAACACGGTACTTGATCCCAATTATGCTCTTTGTAAACTATTTGCACCTTGTTTGATTTAATAATGTTAAACAAAATGTATCCACCAGAAAAATCCTATCTTCTTAGTTTATTGAGGTTTTTGGTATTCACAAGAAACACTACTTTTAGACCTAGAT